TCCTCAAGAATCTTACGTACGATTTTTTTTTGAATTTTCCTTCAGTTCGCCTTTTTTCGAAAAGGTAATTTTTACTAACCGAAGTTCGAAAACTACACGACAACAATCATTATTGTATTTTCCACAAGATACTTCCCACAATAACTAGTAGTTGATATCTTTTATATTGCTGTTTTTATATTGTTCAGTTTATATCAATATTATTTTATTGACTATATGCGGTGTTCTCGAGTGTTTTAATTGAAAAATGAAAAAATGTCAATCATCAAGACCACATCGGTAGTTGACCTTTATGATCATTTGACCCTTGTGACTATCCTGCATGCTTTTTCTGGTTGACCCTTGCGGTCGTATGACCCCTGAGCAGGGTTGGGCATCTTGGACTAAAGGGAGGTTCTTACGTAATGATGCAAAAAATTGGTAATTTACCTACAGGGCGTAATAAATGTAAAAAATGTAAATGTCTCATATAACCTCACGATTAACAAAGAGATGGCCAAATTTCACGAGAGTCACATGGGTTACAAGGGGATGGTCAAATTTCGCGAGATTCAAATGTCACGAGGGTCCCAAGGGGATGCTCAAATTTCACGGCGGTCAAACGTCACAAGAGTCAGAGGGGGCCATTAAACTTCACTGTATTCCTTTCTGACCCTTATTACCCTCGCAACGTTTGACCCTCGTGCGATTTGCTCATTCCCTTGTGACGTTGGACCCCGTAGAATGGACCATGGGGACATTTAACTGTGGTGAAATTTAATTATTCCCTTGTGACTCTCGTAACTCTCGTGAGGTTTGACCCTCTTGAAAATTTAACGATCCCCTTGTGACTCTCGCGAAAATTTGACCATCACCTTGTGAGCCCCATAACGTTTGACCCTCGTCAAATTTTACTCTTGTAATGTTTGACCCTTATAAAATTTGACCCTTGTGCCAACAAGTTTTGAGAAAAACGCTAAGTTTCTCAGAATCCCAGTAGATGGCGCAATGTGTCACTTATCAGGTAATTTACTCAATTTTTTACACGTGTCACGTCAAAATTGAACAAAATGACATGAACTTTTAATACGATTAGCTGTTCAAGACCGGATAGGTCACTTTAGCTAGAATTATTACTAAAATCGATTTCGAATATCCCCCAAAGTATAGAAACCCCACTGGATAAAAGAATAAAAATGCGAACACAATTTTAGTTTAAAAATGACTCCTGAGAGTCTATATTTTAAAAACAAAAAAAATACACTGAAAAAAAAATTTGAAAGAGAGAGAGACTTACAAATGTTGAATCTCTGCTAAATCCAATGGTTACACAAATTTCACTGCTTAACTTATTGCCGCGTAAACTAATTAGTTTTTTTAAAATCACAATGATTTCACATAAACCTAACACTCGACAGTTACCAGACGGTTACCAAAATTTACAAAGGAAAAGTCTCGAAGGACTAAATGAAAATCGAAAGAATTGTCACGAAGGACTGATAATAAAAAAAAAGGAAAAAATGTCACGAAGGACCAAAAACAAGTCTTGAAAAACTTGTGATAAACTTTAAGAGTTACGGTGGAACTGAGGAACAAAACGACGCGCAAGTAGTTTTGTTCCCTCAGCCTGAGGGTGTGTCCTCAGATACATGGAGGGAAAAATTAGGGGACCAATGGTCGATGACCTTGGGCCCAAATCTTTCCCTCCTTGCACTCCGCTCTCAATGTTTCAGGGTTAACTCCGACCCCTCTACATTGAGATGTCGAGAGTGTGCGCGGACTTTTCCAACCCTCGACTACCAATGAGAATTGTTTCGGGAGGTCCCATTTCCTCCCTCTACAATCTCATTTATTTAAAAAAATAAAATTAAACAATTTAAAATATTAACTAGGGATTATTATTTAAATAATCCTAAATATGATTATCTTTCCGAACATTATTTCGGAATAATTAAAATTACTTATTTTTAAATTAATTAGTCTTTATTACGCCATTCTCGTTTATAAGAAATAAAAGAAAAATAATTATTTGAGTTTGAATTCCGAATTCAATTGAAAAATAAATCCCTCTAAATTAATCTTCTAAAGGACAATAAAGAAAGTATAATTCTCTCAAATTGAAAATGAATGAAAGGGTTTTAAAATTTATTTAACCCGTGAATGGAAAATATTCTAACTAATAAAGGAAAATAAATGAAATAGTTTCCTATAAAAGAATTGAAGAGGGTTCAATTCGTAACGAGATATTGAATTAAATTTCGATGAAATATTCTTTCGAATTGAAAAATAATTCGAAAGTATGAGTTAGATTAGTCCTAATGAAAAGTATCTTATATCAAAATGATTGTCGTAAAATTTGCAATTATTCTACATCGAAATTATTAAATTAAAAGAATATTTTTAAAAACATTTGAAAATTGTCAAAATAAATTTATGACTTCCCGTTACGAAGAGAAACTTATAGAACCCCCATAAAATTTACAAGGGGACGGGAACTCAAATTCGGTTTTACGAGGGTCTGGGCCTTGAAAGAAAACAGACCCCACGCTAAGATAAGGGACACTTTGAATTCCCCAATACTCTTGTTCATTGTACAAGTCACGTCGGAAAATTGAGAGACAAAAGTAAATGAGAGAGATAGACTGGGCGTGCACTTGAGATGCCTTCAGCACGACAAAACCCTGACCCAAGTCTATTATTTTTACGACGGATTTTTCGGAGAAAAATCCGCTTGGAAAATGTTGACTACAAATTTACGACTTGCAGCTGGCCTTTGGGCCTTTTCAATAAAATAAACCCGGCGCGAGGGAAAGTAATATTTAGTTACTTGAGAAAAAAAAATTAATAATTTGTTTAAAGAAAAACTGAAATCAAAATATTTCGACGGATGTCACAAACGTAAAAAATTCTGTAATTTACTCGAGGTAATTTTCTTCCCATGAGATTAATAATTAATAATAATTAATTATTAATCTCATAGGTAATTTTCCTGCCCCTGAGATTGTCCTTGCTTCATTTGACCCTCGCAAGGCATCACCTCGACGAGGTGAGATTCTAGCATCATTTGACTCTCGTCGGGTATGACGGTCGCGACGTTTGACCCTCGACAGACATGACCCTTGTGGCCCTTGTCACCATCTACATATGAATCATCAGAATTTTACTATGTACCGTAGGAAACCCTGATTTTCAGTGAACGATCCATCCCTGATCTTACGTAAGATCTTGGGGGGAGGAGTTCACTGAATCTTACGATGTCTTTCGTGGGGGGCGGGGGGGAGGGTCAAAAATGGGTAAAAATCGCCTTACGCAATTTATGGACGGCCCCATGCCAACTTCATTTCACGAAGGGGATATTCTACAGTGAAATTCGGTGAAGGCAGTTGTGGAAAAAAACCCTCACAGTCATAGAAATCACTGTCGGAATTTTTTGTTCTAGCCTAACATTCGAAAATGCCTAAAAAAATTTAAAACCTAGTTTTCAATCGAAAATTTTCTAAATTTTTCCCAATTCCCGGTCGTTTTTCTTTCTCACTTGAATTTTATGGTGGAAATAAAAAAATCAAAACTATAAGGTCCGCATGGGGGGTATTTTTTCTTCAGTGGCGATTTTACGCCCTCTCACTATGCGGTAAAAGAGTGAAGCTTTATCCCGATCTCAGCTATGTCGGTAACTGCGGAAATGATATGAAACCACGGCCCTTATTCTCGACGCGATCAGAGATAATAGGGGAGATTGCTCAGGCTTATGGGAACTGTTCGATCAGAGTTTCATAGCGGTGGCGCGCATGAACTAATCGAGAGGCCGTCTCTGTGGGTAAAGAAATTTCCATCTATTACCATGGAAACAGTCGATAACAGGGATGCATTCCCAATCTTAAATCCAACATGAAACCTCCTTTGCATTCACTCATCCGCTTGATTATCCCATTTTCGTTCATACAACTTCTTATTGTCTTAATTTGTAAATTAGTTGATCATAAAGGAGAGGGAGAGAAGGAATTATGAAGTCTTGAGCGAAAGAGGATCATTTATTTGAATTTCTATACAACTAGATCTTTAATAAAAAAAAAAA